CTAAACCCTCACCTGTGACTCCCCATGCTATTAAAAATCTAAAGTAAGAAATAATGCCAGACAGCAGTAATATGAATTAATGAAATTAGGGCCCTGCTCAAGCCTGAAGAACCATACAGGCAAGCCGAAGGTGTTGCCCACTTAAACAAAGCTACTCAGTACATCTCTGAAATGCAGGTGACCTATCTATTTTACTTTAGCATTATTTAAGCATATTTAATTAATATTTTTTAGCTATCTTTGAATATTTAAATACCAGTCAATGAGATGTTACTTGCGGTGTACTACAATCAACTTAATATATGCAAATAAATTGAACACAAAATCAATAATCACAAGTATAATCCAATTAATGCAACAGGAATATAGTTTATATTAAATATATGAATCAATGATTTAACATAAATTTAATACATCTAAATTAATTCCATTACAACATCAAATATATAATATGAAGACGTTTTCAATGGGGGTAATTACGGTACCACCGGCGTGGCTGACCATCAGGAAAGCAAAGGCCTATTTTTAAATGACTCACAGGGGTTAAAAAATCAGCGCGGTGTTCATGCTGTTGTCACCAGCGAAGACGGCGGTTCTGATGTTTTCAAACAGCCAGAGCTGTCACATCCTGCTAACACATCACCTCATTAGTCCCTGTAGGCGACACCCCCAGAATCGCTTCAATAAAATAAACTATACTGTACTCTGGATCGGACCCCATCCAATTTATCTCCGAGAAAGGTCTTTTGGTTTATGAAACTGTCAATAGTATGAACTATAGCCGCTCGGGTGTGGCTACTTTTTATGTTGACTGATATATTTTTATTTATTTATTTCCCGCTGACCATGTGACCAGAAAAGCTGTGCAGTTGCATTTCGGCAGTTGTGTTCAATGTGATGCTGTCGTTGACCCTGTTCTACAGAACGCTGATTTTTCAAAACTCATAACAGTTTAATGAGAGATAAAGAACTCACTCTCAAGATAGAGGAATCGCGGATAGTTGGGTCATCCTATGCCCCCGTACACAAACAAAATGTTGTATTACAAGAAAATATAGCCTATATGGGCCTATATGCAGAAAACGTGAACATGATTGCTTAAATTATTATTTTAAACAGGGACACCAACAGTGCTTCTAGAAACGCGGGTATTTCGCCACGTATTCTACACCTAATAATTATACTAAATATTTTACAATATCGCCACACTATAGTGTGGCATTATTTAATAATTTCCTCGATTTTGAGATGCTTCTCAAGTACAAAAGCACGGCCAGTCAGTGAAAAGACGCACAAGACGCCCAAATTGTGCCCATACAATGGAAAATGCATCACCAGCGTCGCCCTGGATTTTTTATATATGCAAATATATATGTGACTGCGCCACCGCCCCAGTGCGGCTTCTCCCTGCATTTCAAGCGCAGTCTTTCTCGCCGCAAGGTCAGGCTCATCATTTCACGGCTTTTGCGAGCCCTCGGTTTAATGAATGACCGCTGCTGCCTCGTAAGGCGCGGTTAGGGTGACTGGTGGGAATACAGGCCGGGCGCAACACCGAGGCGATCGGCCAGCTACGGTCATCCATTTGTAGAAGTCGGTCGTAGGACACCCGGTTAAGAAAAAGAAGGGGAAAAAATGAAATTACCATTTGCGTTTTAAATACATATCCGTTTTGTTCCTGGTCGCCAGAAGCCTGACAGATGTGAGGTTACAGATATATGCTTATTAACCTTATTACAGTATGGCGTTAATACAAAACGATGTTAAAATATTTATCTTCCATGATCTTTTACCTTTCCCAGCTCGCGTGAATCACAGAATGAAAAAATTTCGCCCCGATTTAAAAAGATATGTGGTACAATTATGTGTTGCGCCCGTTCAATTATAATTTTTTCCAACTTCTTTTTAAATTGTAGTAGGCCTATATCCACATTGTGAATTTCAGGTTTTCTGCGCATAAACGTACTCGTGTCTTCACAGGCGCCTAATATATTTAGGTAGCCTAGTATAGGCAGTAATTTAATGATTCACCGAGATGAATGCGGGACAGGTGGTTTTCAAATAACGACTCCGTTTACGATGGACGATTGAAATGTATTCAAGTGAAAAGGGGGAGAGGGGAGAGGATCCGGGCTCTGCTTGCTGTGGGTGGTATGCTTAAACTCCGCGGCACGCTTCCAGATTTAGCTACAGGTTATTACTCTTAAAGGATAGCTTTAGGTCGCACGCAACGCGGCAGCTCTCTGGTTTCCCGGAGGTTATGACTTTAAGAGCTTTATGGCCCTAAATAAAACCATTTAAGTGGTCACCGCCACGTGTCTTTATTATCGTACCCCTGTTAAGAAAAATATATGTGTTCCTGTATTCGAGCATACACTCACCTTACGTTAAATACGATTAATACATCCGATAACATTTTTCAGGGGAATTAATAAGCAACTGTGTTATGGGAGAATGGTTTATTTACGCCTGTTATTCACTCTATAACTGAGCTCGATGAAGGACAGTCATTAGCTGACTGTTGCCTTAGTTAAAGTTTGAAAGTTGTCAGGATTGCAAGCAAATGGTCATTTGACCTTCAAGTCGGGTGAAAACGGAAGGAGAAGAATGAGATGAAGTAGTTTTCGCTGAATTGTCCGTCACTGGGGAGCTCAAAGTTAGCAGGGAGGCTGACAGTCAGTTGGAGGTATTGTAATCCTGTTAGCGGTGGGAGACCGAAGATGTTTGGAACAGGAGGACTTCAACTCAGGGTCAACGACTGAAGTTTGTCAAAATATCTCACTTTTCTGGATGCAGCCATTATGTCTGCAAAAAATTATAGATGTTCTCCTTTGCTGTGGTAAATCCTGGCAAACTCATGCACGTGTTTACGCCTGAATCAATGACCAACTAGCCATAAGTCATTAACTCTTTTGTAACAATCGCGTTTAGATTTAACAACTGAATAATTCCTGGGCTTTGCCTAATAAACCTTCGTGGGGAGGAAACGAATTATTGTTTTCTCCTCTCCCCAATTCAATGGCATGTCAATATCAATATCAACACTGCAACGTTGTCCAGCAAGATTTATAGGTCTCTTAAGGTAATCGTCACCTAATTAAGCAACCAATTGATTGTATTAGGTAATTAACAGCCGGAGACTCTATAAATCAGATACATCACAACCCTGCAACGAAAGCCGCGTGTGCCTCTAGTCTACAACAAGGTTCAGGAGGTGGGAGATACTGAACGTCGCGCAGCTCGTTATATTTTAATGCGAATTTATGGAGCATGTGTGAAAAGGATTAAATATGCGAGTCCGTCACAGTCTTACTGCATGGGGCTGAAGTTATAACTGGACTGGACAAAGCTAATAAAATGTATAACAAACTGAATCCGTTTTAAATGATGTTTAGTGGTCTAAGGAACGTCGTGCAAACCCGTCGCAGGATAAATATCTGAGAATAAACGGGAATAAATATCTCACGTGACGGAGTCCCTATAAGAATTATGCACATCAATGGAATGGATGGCACGCAGGCCTTCACTGCAAGAAACATTACACTCAGAAGCAGTAAAATATTGAAATGTATAAAATCCTAAATTGAAATAATCAAGTCAAAAAAGCCATCCTTTGTGGTTTTTCTGTAGACCGTATTAACTAGATCCAAAACCACCAACAATAAAGAAATACCACAAGACTGGTTACTTTCTCATAACCTTATGGAATTTAATATTTACAGGGGGGAAAAAAAAACTAAACTGTGGGGTCATTTTTGTTGCTGTTGAACGAATTAGTCACAGCGACAGAAATTTGGCATTTCAGAGAGATTTAATTCAGCACGTAACGCATTGATGACCAAACATAGATTTTAAATGTTAACTTTCTTTGAACTCGCTGGCATTTTTATGACATTATGACAGTATTAATATTGTGAAATGGCTGGTATCAAGGCTGCAGTTATGTTTCAAACATAATATTCATTCATTGTAATTTATCGAATGCTGGAATCCATATAAACATATGGCATAGTTGTATATATTATGGTGTATTGTCATTTCGATATTCTGGAGTGTGTTAAGCAAATATCAGAGGGGAAAGCAGTTCCTCGTGTATTTAAGGTAAACACACGCATGTGAATTGTTAGGGTCAACTCAAGAGAATCGTGCGTTTCCTGCAGAATTCAGTATTTGAGGGAAATGTTTGTCCATTGTGTTTTGCACGTGCTACTTGTCAAGATGCGCAGAAATTCTTCTCCATACCACATGAGTTCCAAAGCTTACTACTTATATCAGAGAAAAAAAAGAGACAAGTTATTTTTCAAAATAACGTGGATTTGTAATAGTCAGTAAGTCATGAAAGAAAATGAAGAGCTTTATTATTGAGAAATCCTCGCTGGTTGCATGGATTTCGGTAATTCTGGGTTCCACGTGTAGCGTCAGCGAAAGCCGAGCGACGTGCCTGGGACTCAGACTGTAAATCTGTGAGGCTTCGTCATGTGATCGGGCGGCCGTTCTGGTGCCGTGTCTATTTGAGTACGTCGTACGTGTTAAAGTGCTTCCGACGAGTTCCCAGGTCTTCTCACTCTCACCTGGAGAAGTTACATCAAACTCAGTCTTTCGAGTGAAATGTCACTGTATCCATGTGCACAGCTTTTAAAATACTGCTTCGTTCTAAATGTGATATACTTCCTAAATATAGGCCTAAGTAGTCTGTCTGTCTATATATTTGTGTTTTATTCATTCATTTAAATTGAAATTTATGGATTAAAAAATGGATTCATTTCACACTATCTATTTCAGGAATGCGGCTGTGTCCTTGTGCTTATTTTTAATTTCAGCATTTACTTCTGTTGGGAAACCCCCGTTAGCCACCGACACATATATGTCTGGGGCTGAATCATATTCAGCATCTTTATCTCGTGATGACGGCTCATCCACCCATGATTATCCTTGCCCGGCGCCTCCTTCACGTCCCGCTCTTCCTCCTATCATTATTTATTGAGTCCAGCTGGAGAGAAATGGGGTCTATACTTTTCCCCCCTTGTTTTCTCAGACTCTCTTGTGTTACTGGAAGAATAGGGCCTCAGTCATTGGTCGAGCGGACAGGACTGCCTACTGTTACGGGGCTCAACTTTCAAATCCCAAAAGCAGGGTGTGCAGCCGTTCAAAAATGATCTCCTAGATAATCTACTTTGCATTCATGCTTGGTCCCTTTCTTACGACTGCCGCATGCTAAAAAAGCGGTGAAGATTTTCACCGCGCCGCTGCCGACGACGTTTTGTGTGATTTCTTGCTTTGGGAACGGGAGGAAATGGAGCTTCCAGGTCCGCGCGTTAGGGGGGGACTCTATGCCAGGTTTTGGTGACAGCCCATTCAAAGCCACCTCATGCAGAAGCAGGCAGCGCACAAGTAGCAGCACTGGCTCCGTTTGATGGGAGGCTGTTCCTCCGTTTCAAGCCGATTTCCTAATTCTGTGGGCAAGACCTTCTCCAGACTGAGAGCGCTCGCACCTGCGCGGTCATAGCGGAGGCTTCAAGAGCATTCACTGAAGACGCACTGGATTGACAACAACACTGGAGACGTGCTTTCTTATTCAAGACATTTTTTTTCTTTCAGATTTTTTAGCTGGCCAAATCTATCCCGTTTCTCTTCCCCTCCTCTCGTCTCTTTTTGGCTTGATTCATTTTTTTCCTTTTTTCACATTTAGACTCCTTTGGAAAAAAAAAACATGCGGGAAAGAAGAGAGGAACGCATTTGAGAGTGCAGGAGGACTGTGTCGATCGCTGTAGGCTGAGTCGCGCTTGGCCATGGAGAACCGCGTCCGGTCCGCGGTGCAGGCAGACAGCATTGTTTGATTAATAAAAAAGCGTGTCGCTTTTCCCGGTAGCGGAGCGCACGTTGCAAGCTGCAAGCTCCCCCCTTTGTGCCGCCCGCTGCGACCCGAACTGTAGAGGACTTCCCATTACAGACTTGCTTGCTCCCCGCTTTACACTCATTGTCTGATTTTTTTCCCGTGGTCGTCGAAACACTTCACGGGTCGGCTTTCTCAAAGGGGTGAGTGTCCTAGCAAAGAACATCCTCGCCCCCTCCCCCTCTTACACCTATTTGCATTTGTGTTAGCTGAATTATATTACACTGCTTTAAAATCTCGTCGCAAGTTTGGCAGGGAGTCCCTGCAACTTGTTAGTGCTGTTTTGCTGAAATCCCTCGATTAAGTCGGACTTTCCCTTTTGCACGTAAACAAGCGCAGTGAAACTATTACAATCGCGCTGGAAAAGAGGGATCTATCAGTGTGTGTCGCACATCTTGGAAACGGTGTTTCAGAGCTGCTGAACTTCAGGAAAAATCCATCTGATAAAGGGAAATTCGTGCAGGCTTAAACGTAGATCGCACCTTTAAAGGACGTAGCCTGTGCAATAAAAATGATTAATTTGGTGCTATAAATAATTGGGGGGGGAAAGAAAGTTAAAAAAGACAGAGCACAGATGTGGACTGATATGTGAGGCCCCTGTTTCTAGGAGTTTGAATGAATGGAAACAATTAGAATGATTGGTATGGCTTTGGAATGAGCCTCAAACGGCCGGGCTCCCTTTAGCTGGGGTTTTAAACCGTGACACGGTGTGTTCCGCAGGAACAATTGTTAGCTTTGCTAATACTGGCGTGCAGCGAGAAGATAAATGTTTGTAAAACGTTGTGATTCAAGGATCTATGTGTAGATATCTCATGTGTGGAATGTATATATATTTGAGGTTGAAAGTTGTTTTTTTTTCTTTCCTGTTTCGGTAAGTGTGCGGCAGGCTTCCAGAAATACTGTCGGTTATAATGACAATCATAAAAAAATCATAACTTTTAATATGAGTAAATACTTGATTTCTGGATCTAATAATAATAATAATAATAATGAAATGGCTGTCCAAAAATAACTGTGAGCTTTTTTAATGGACTGTTCCTTGGCAGGAGACTTAGATCATAAAGCTTGCATGTATTATTTACAAATCTGCATGTCGCCTCGGCTCCCCCGCGCTCAGCCCTGTCAGATCGGCACGGGAGCAGGGGCCACGCCAGCCGCTGCCTTCGCCGGCTGAGTGGCACGGCGGCTGATGCGGAGAAACAGGGTGCAGACTCCGGATTGATCCGCCAAGTCGATTATGTGAAAGAGGTGAAAGCCGTGGTCCGAGTCCCGTCGTCCGCAGTTAACGCCAGGGCTCGCCCCCTGACGCCATGGCCTTTTTCAAAAATGAACTTATGGACGGGAAAGCGCGTGACATTTGCGCCTGGCCGTTTCTGTCTCTTGTTTATGAGAGTCCATGTGTGATGGACGGCGAACTAAGACGTTTCCCGTTTAGCTGTTGACCTTGGCTGCTCCGTAATTGCATTGTGCGAGTATGCACACAGCTGCATGTCGCTTATTTTGCAATTCTTGCGTGTGTGATCGCGTATAGATATTGAGGCCTTTGAAAAATTTTCCTTTTCAAAGTTAAGAACACAGTAATCGCAAAGTTTTACTAAATCTGTTGCCTCGTTCGATGCAGTATTGACCGTACGTAATCGATTATAAGAGAAATTCTGTTTCATATTTCGTCGGCGCATATTTATAAATGCATTTTGTAATATATGGGCCAAAATTCCGCCAGTCTAGACTAAAAATCCAGCTTCCCGAGGTTTTGAATTATTGAATTTGTCATTAAATTAAGCTGAATTAATTAAAACTTGAGATTCTTTTTTTTTCTTTTACACACTAAGGCAGAGGACTGTGCTTTTATCAAAGAGTGTCTCCTTTTAACTTCATAACTCCCCCCCCCCCCCCAATAAAATCCAGCAAATCTGCTGAAAATAGAAGCAGTGGGTGATTTAAATCAGCCGATAGCTTCTCTGTCATTCAAGTGTGAGAGTCTGAGGTAGATATCAGATAATGTTTACCTCGATTGTACTCTGAGTGCATTTCCACAGGAGTGTTGCTCCGGAGGGGGGGGGTCTGCATACAGAAAATTATGGCACTAAGAGTGAGAGGCCAATGGGCCTCAGAATTTGCCGCTGTGTCGAAGTGAACAAGGTAAAACGAACAACCAAGCCAAATTTCAATAGAATGTGTAAATAATGGAGCAGTATTGTCAGTTTGATTATTATTAATAATTTGCTTGCTCTCTTTGTTTTCGCATTAACAGAAAAGTGTTGACACTTTTGGCATTTTTGGCAGTGGGGATTAACCAAATCTAAATTTTCCCACAAAGGCCTATATCTATTATTTGAGAATGTAAAAAGCGACATAATGAAACAACACGCGGCACGATAATGAACATGTTTGCCCCTAATTACACAGTACTCCTTGATTTATCCCCATGCCATTAAACCGTTTTATTTTTGCTGCGCGGTAAACAGAAACATCCTGTACTGTGAAGGGGCCGAATCGAGCGGGGAAAGTGACAAGTGCTCTGTTGTGGGATTTCTCTGGTCACTCAATCGCTCCCTCCTTTTGTTCCGCCACCCTCAGAAAGAGGTGCCATTTCACAAAATTCCGCACAAATTATTTGAATTAATGCGAGTTTGAATTCACCCTGTTTGAAGGGAGCGATTAGCATATCAAAGTAAGGGCAGTTCTATTGAGAACTTAAATCGTAACCTCCATTTGTTTTGCAGCGGAAAAGACCGGGCATATGGAGAGAAAAAAAACTGTTTTTTTGGGGAGAACCCACATTTCATGAGCATCTATAAACATGAGCCCCCTTAAAAACATTGTCGTTTTAAATGTTTCTGCATTACGATAAAATGGACTTTTTTGCTTTCTGTCTGAAGAACGATCTTACTATCTGCGTAATGTGTTACTTGAAGGCCTTGAGTATGTGCCTGCACTTTTTGCCCGTCCTTCTGTAGAATGCCGAGTCTCTATTGTGGTATATCGTAGTTCTATCTCACAAAAACGGTTTGCCACATGAAAGATGAACACTGTTTTAAATTGGGGTGATATATGTTTTGTGTGAAATTCTTCAGCGTGAGAAACTTCGCTACCAGACGTACCCTCTGTGAATGTTGGGCAACGGTGTGCTATGAAGGGCTATATCTGTCTGCCTTTTAATTTCCACCCACGGTTCGTTAGCTGCATCCCGGAAAGCGTGGATTTCTTTTCAGGCTGCCGATAAAAGTGGTTTTATACTCCGGGAAAGATGCTTATCAGGGTCGATTTCGCTCATTTGCGGTATGCATTGTAAATATTTTTAGGAGACAGTAATGAAGTATGAAATACTGCGCGGCCGGGGTGGGGGGGTTTAAAGTATTTTCCCGTGAACTATAAAAAAACGACATGAACAAAGCGAGTCTCTTTTTATTAGTCATCTTAATAGTTCTGGATAGTAGGTTCATACTTTATTTCTCTTAAGTGCGGTGGCTTTTAGCTGCAGGGGAAATTGGCTAGACGGTGCATTCCAGCCGCTGCATTGTGTAGCGGGTTCAAAGAGAGACTAATTGCAATTGTCACACTTTTTTAGTTTGTTGTTGACAAGGCTGGCGCCGGCAAAACGGGAGGGGGGCGGGGGAATTAGCCGCCCGCTTCTCGGTTGATGTGCGCCTTATTGTAAACATGCGCGTTGAGAAACTGAGCCTCGGTGAACGGTGCAAGAGCGGGGAATCGTTTCAGCACGTTTAGTCATGGCCGTGTTATTTTTTTCGGCTCCCTTGAAAGAGAGAGTGGGAGACGATGGGAAGACGGCATGGCCGCTGCAAACATAGGCTGGATACGGACGGCGGAGTTTAAATGAAATTCTGGCTCCAACGGGGTCTGCCCGCGCTGATGTGTCCGGGCTGGTCCCCGCCTCGCCGTTACGAGACTACGCCAATAAGTGTCAGGGAACGATGAGACGCGCGAACCTGCTAACTTTACTGCGCCAAGCGCGCACTATTTGCCGAATAGGCCTAAAACAGACCAATGAGCAGTTGCACTAATAGTGAAAATCTGGATGTCCGGGATATATATATATATCTGTGTGATTATGTATGCCTCTTCATAAACATTCGTATATTTTAAGGTTTTATGTTATATGTTTCTTTTCTTTGTGTGTGTGTGTGTGTGTGTGTGTGTGTGTGTGTGTGTGTGTGTGTTTTAATACATTTTTGTCCTAGTGACCTTAATTGACCGGATGAAATATGAATGACTGGCGTTGCTGGACACTTTATCTTTTGAAGCAAGTACACATTTGCGAGAACCATTATTATTATTATTATTATTATTAGTATTATTATTGTATTACCTTGGTGTAAACCTCAGTTCCTTTCGCTGTAGGGTACGACATTATTAATAGAACTACAATGAGGTCGGGTGAAAATCCAGACAAACGGCACCACGGGGTAATATGCAGATGCACGACCAGTTAAATAAAAGCGACGCAACTCTCTGATGCGCAGCTGAGGGCTCCGGGTGACACGTCCGGGACGGCTGGCACTTCACCTTGTGAAATGCGCGCTCCCGAAGCACGTTCGCGGCAGATACCTGTCATCTCACGGCACCACGGCTGCTTCTCGTCAGCGACGAGCTTTTCACTCCAGCAAAGCCGAGTTGCAGTTCGTCCATTAGTGATTCTTCTATGTGATGAGCTGCAAATAATGAATATTATTGTTTAGAATGTCAGAAAGGTAAAAAATATGAACAGATGAAATCACATTTAGCCGGTAATTTAAATAATACATTTAAACTCAATGTTTTTAAAATGTTGCTGGATTTCATAATTCAGATATTAATTCCATATTAATTTATAATAGTAATTAGTTCAAGGTGCTTTCAACAAATGTTTCTCCCAAATTTTTTTTTGTGGTATAGCTGTATTTTAAAAAGAATTTTCATTTTCCCCCCATTGTCTGGGAGGCCGAAATTTGCAACACGTTTAGGGACTCTCTGGTAATGATTATTGGGTAGCCCTTTGCCTCACGCCGACATCCCATCCCATGACGGCCCCATTAGCGCGATCGTTTACCCGCTTTGAGTCGCTGCCCCCGATCCTCTTTGTTTAAAGCCGGGACGCGTCTTTTGTGACCCTCTTCGACGCGCTGGGTTTTATTCAAAGTTTCGGACGTCCAGCATGTCATTAACATGCATGGTTGCTGGGCTGAGTGTATTTGAGTGTGATTTTATTTTAATATGCAACTCAGAATATTTAATCAAATACAAGGGATGAAAAGAAGCCTCGCTTTCAGACGTATTCCTGCGGTTCCGATCGCCCGCCATGATAGCGGGACACGACTTGTCCACCTATGCGGAGCTTGCGTTTGGGAAAAAAATGCTTGATTTGAGCGTGGCAGAAGTAAGCCTTTGAGGCAAGGCTCAAAATAAACACAAGTTATTGCATGCCAGCCATTGCCGCGGAGTGGGAGGGGACGGGAGAGGGAGAGGCCTGGCTCGACTTAGATCTAAACGCAGGCGGAGGGAGAGCTGTTAGACGCACTCTGCCGTTTTAACAAGACGGGCCTTAAATTTAGCAGAAATGCGGAGGGGGGGTGAGAGGATTAAAACCCCGGATGGCGCATCATTGCCCTGGGCTGGGAGGCTGCGCGGTGGGAGACGAGGTGAAACCTGTCAGCACCTGCTGAGGGGTCATTTCAGACCCGCCTGGAGTGAGAATGGTTCAATTAAAAGTGACCATCAGGTTTCTTCATAGTGTGTTTATGTGTGTGTAAAACTATACAGATATAAAATATATAATAAAACAAACTGAAATGGGTGCACAAAGTACAAAAAAGGCTTTATCGTCTCCTGAAATGTTCAAATTATTACATATATTTAACAAATAATACTGAAGGAGGACATATTAAACTTTACTTTTTGTGCTCATTAGTTGATTGATTGGCCCGTAAGGCTTGACCTCGTCTGTCGGACGACGTGAGCAGCGCTCCGCGTTTCCCCATATCGCTCACTCGCGATCCCGCAAACAGGTGATTCGGATTTCATCGCTGCCAGGAACAGCCCCCGCGGATAATGGCTGCTGACGCGCGCCCCTCCTGCTCATCGACGCGCAGGGTTTGAATGTCGTCCTTGTCGGCTGGCCCGGGGTCGCGCCCGGTCGCATGCCGAGAACCGCGTTGGAGGCGATGCTGAGGGAGCGTGTGCCGGGAGGCGTGCATCCCGACCGCGGCCATCTTCCTGCGAGATACCGTTTCCTCTGATATTTTCATTCCGATCCTTTTAAAATGTTAAAAAGCAGATGTGTTAACCCCCTCGACGCCAAAATTTTTTACCCCCCCCCCCACCAGTTTAAATCAGATAGATTTTGGGAAATTACTTAAAATATCATGGAACCCTGCTTTAGGATTTAGGATAGGCTGTATTTTCAAAGGTCAGAGGGATATATATGGTTAGGAGAAAGACAGGCTCATTTCCTATATTTGTGGCTGGCTTGACTGCTTTGTTCGCTACTTGTTTGGTGGGTAGACATTTCTTATTTGCTTCTTCATATTCTTTGCATAAACCAACACCTAATGCAGTAAATTAGGGCCCCTACATTGTAGCTCTCTTGTAAGGCTCCAAAAAAAAGAAAAAGAAAATCCATAAAGAGCCTTTTGAGCCGCCAAGGCCAGGGAGATGTGGACGTTTCAGAGGTTGCTTGTACTGCCCCGCTCCCCCCTGCGGTCCCGGTGTGGATGTCAAACTTCATACGAGAAGCCGAACGTTAATGGAGCGCTCTGTTGTAAAAGCCATGCATTTTTTATTCCCGGCCGCGCTCCTCCATGCAGTATTACGGCTCGCAATCGGTTCTGTTTTGTTTTGAAACGTATAGCCCAGGATGCGGGGCGCGCAAGTGCCGGGATCCATAAAAGGCCATCGGATACGGCACCCAGCACCCGAAGCGTAGTGCGCGATCTTCCCCACAGTGGGACCGCGTGTCCGATCAGAGTGCGGCCGGGAAATAAGTCTACAAAGATGCTACAATAACAAGATGAAATGGGCGTCTCTACGCTGTTTGTGCAATGAGGCACGGCATGTACATGAGCGGGAGTCCCTGTATGTCAGGAGCACTAATGTAATTACTTAAGAACACTATCAGATGTGTTTAGATGTTTTCCAGTGTACGCACACGTGTAATGGCTCCAGACAGCTCCTGGATGTATCCTTTTCTGGGAAGGACCCTCTGTGCTGCCAAGTTGAAGGCTGTAGTAGCCAGAGGGGGAGTCCTTGGCAGGTAGAAGCCTCTTGAGGGGCTGTACAGTGGGGGGGGGGCGCGGCATCAATCTTGGACGCGGTACAGCTGACCACGTAGGTGGCGACACGCGTCGAGGGTAGGAGCTGGGAAGGAATTTGGGAATTAAGGGCACGGAGAGGTGTTTTATTACGCTGCTGCGGGGTGTGACCAGCTGTGGAGCTCGTGTTTTAGTAGGTTGCGGTTTCATCCCCGTGAATGAGCCTTGGGGGGGGGGGGGGCACGAGTGTGCCGGACAGTGGGGGCTCCAACTGCGCGTTGGGTGAACCTGGAACTTCTGCACGTCTGAAGTCCTGGGAGGTCGACCCTCCAGGAGAACATGAGGAGATGGTCCGAGGCAGTCAGGCTCTGCCGTTGGGGGGCCGCGCCTGACAGCACTTCAGGTACCATGCCCGCTCCTTGTGCGTGTTTTCGGAACCCCTATCCTACATATGAAGTGGTGCACTGGTATGGCTGATGGATAGAGAACACTCACTTCTGCCGGGGGCCCGAGCTGCCGGGGAACCGAAGAGGGACAGTGGCATCTGGCTCAAGGCCTCCACAAAACAAGCTTTGTTTCTCTGACCGTTTCAGAACTATGTGACGTCCACGATATCGCAGCGAAGCATTAATCTGAGCCTCGCTATTCATTCGTCCAGCGGCTGATTATGCAGCTAGCTGACGGCCATCATCCCAGCGCGGGACACCAAGCGGCATCCCCCCTTCCCGCTCGTCTTCTGTTTGATCCACTTTTCATTTTTAGTCTCGAGAGCGGCGTTTAGCTGGTGTGTAGAAACTAGGCTGCGTCGCGTTGGTTGCCGGGTGATTTTCGCTCCAGTGTACGTATGAATATTCATGAGCGAATGGGCGTGCCCCCCCACCCCACACACCAAAATCCTGAAATAGCGAAGAGATGGATTTTGGGGTCAGAGATAGGTGCATGAAAAGGTTTCTCTTTTGTTACGATGTAGCATGTTTTGTGACAAAATACCTTTAGTTTAGCTACAGTGTTTAAACTGTTATTGAAACTTCTGGAAAGGTGGGTTGAGTCATTCTTTGTAGTGATTTTATTCCGGTCCCCTTGCCTCTTTGCAGTGTGCAGTGTGCAGTGCTCGGTGAGTTCGTTATTGGATGAGCGTGCTGCTGTGTGCTGGGCCGCTTCCCCCTGCCGACTTCTACACATTTGGCTGCCGTTGCGGGAACTGCAGTGCCCGCCCCGGGGCGTATTCCCGACAACATTCCCGCAAACTGGCTCCACGGACTAGTACATCTGTGATTCCTGCCTCAGTGGCAGCCAATAGGATGAGGCGCTTCTCGGCGGGAGTGCAGTGCCGAACCGCCGAGCCCAGGTCACGCTGAGAGCTTGCCGGAAATGCCTCTGGAAATTGCTTGGACAAATGTCACTCCAAACAGAGATATTAAAGTGCAATCCCTGCCCTTGTCCAAACACCCCCTCCCCCCGAACTCGGACCCAAATGTAATGTTGGGTTATCCGTTGAAACAAACATGGATCAGAAGGCTACACATAATCAAATGAATGTCATGACGTCCCAGGTGACCTTCTGACTGCGAGTGATGTGCAGATCTGCGAGATTAAGCACATAGAGACAGTCAACAGCAGTGTACTTACAGAACTACATCCGGCCATATCAGGGTTTTAGAGACTGACATAAAAAATAACACTGTGAGTGAAAATATCAAAACACAAAAGTTCATGCCTTCATCTTGTACCATGTCCCGGTGTCCAGCCCCCCCCCCTCACCCCACTTAGAGATCACTTGATGGTGGAGATCTTATGCTGTGTAACAAGGAAATTCGACCTGTATCACAGTAAAACTGAAATGCAATTAACATGAAAGGTGTTTAAATCATAATAAACCTTCTGTATTCGGGTTTAGACTTGAAAATTATTACGTTGCTGTCATTTATGATTAGAGAAGGCATTTTATGCATTTTCTGGATATTAATCTTGCCTGCCGATGGGAACGTAATTAATTATTATGAGAAATTTATATGTTGGCTGTGTTAGGAAATATTGTATGCTGAGGAGGTCCTGACAGCTAGAATCGTCTCTTACGGTCGTACTTTACGCCATCGAAGCCTTTGGGACTATCTGAAAGCATACAGTGACACCAGACACAAAGCTTGATTTAATTTAAGGAGAAAATCTTTTTTTTCCCTTAGAAGTGCATATCCGTCTCTGTGCACCGGAGAAACAATTGTATGAATAATATACTTTTTCAATTTTGACATTTAGCCAAGGGCCACATTGGTGTTTTTTTCTGGCTAAAAAAGGATTCTGGGTGATGGAGTTTCTCGGCAAGTGAATAATAATCGTCCTACAGATAGTGCTAGTAAGCATCACTAGTGATTTATTTTTTTTGGTTAATTAAAAAAATCTTAAATGTAATTAGAGT